AGAGGGATTCATCTTGGCACAGAAACTGCATTTCATGACCCACCAATGGTTTGTGGAAAGTGTTGCAAACTCATAATAATACGTGCCAGTGGTCTAAGAAATTGAAACTCTGGACGGTGCATTTGACTTTTGTTCCTATGTTCCCCTTTAAAGGTCAGTGAAATACATGTATTTTCAGTGATTCTGTGTATAGATGGGTGATTTGGAAGTGAAGGTCAGCTTCTGATTCTTCTAGAGGGGGACACAGTAAATTTTGGTGAGAGGTTACAAATTTGCCTTTGACCATACTTTTACATTTTTTGGACAGACATATTCAAAACATCATATTAATATGACATTTTTTAAAAAGTTGCATCCATTGCTCTTTCACACATCCTCTTTTTTATCAGAAAAGTACAGGTAGCATTTAACTTTCTTTGTGCCCCTCCTTCCATAAATTCAATCCAACTTCTCACCCTTTTTGACTGAATGAATATAATTTACTAGGATATAGCTATCCAGCAAATCTCCTCAAAAGTCAACAAGAAAAAATAATCTCTAATACACCAAAAACCAAGGAAATAGCCAACAGATAAATCCCTTAAACTAAAGATCATTCAGGACAGCATGTATTAGCAAAAAAGATAACGTCAGAACACATGCGTTAATCGCTTTAGATGCTTACAGCATCTAAAATAACAAAGGCAAAAAATTCACAAAATAAATAGTTAGCAATAAGCTAGTACTTGAGTAGTCATTGATTACTCTTTCAATTCCTCTATGAGGTAACATGATCATCAAAGGTACCAATTTACCTATGGGCATGTTTAAGTGATCTGTGACCTCCATTAGACTCTCTCTGGACACATTAGATGTCTGAGGTCCTTTGAGTGTTTAGGGTTCCCACCCAGAGCACAGCATATTTTATAGGTTGGGAAAGTGAGGTACAGAAGTGGCAAGACTCACCCATGAACACACAAGCAAACCCATGACAGAGCAATTACTAAAATTCAGGAGCCCTTAAAATTGATGTTCCTTTCCCCAGGTCCATAATAAACAGGTTACCTATAGCTATCTTGGAAAAAAAACAAAAGAGAAAAAGAAAAGAAAATCAAACCAAACCAAAATCCCAGATGTGAATGCTGAATCCATTACTTTTGGTAATACACAAACAGAAGATGTGAAATCAATGCATGTATCAACACAGCCATGTGGAAGAACAGAATTCAGTAGTTAACATTACATAAGGAAGATATATAATTAAGGAAAGTGTCTCCTTTTGAGCTTTTCAACTCTTTATAACCTAGGGTCATCCCCATATTACATAATACTTTTGCCGAGTTCTTTTCGGGTCTCAAATCACAGTTCTTGTTTCTTGCACTTAGTAACCTCATCTACCATTATAGTAGTTTTCATATCTTAACGTAAAAACAAGTCAAATGCTCCCATAACCACCTAAAACACACTTCAAATACCTCTTACTGAACTCCATTACACAACACAATTCTTCCAGTACAAGTAAATCAAAACCAAGAACATACAACTTCCTGTTCATGCCAAAAATATTCCTCTTTTCCCTATATTAATTCAACTTTTCAGTACTATGAATGTGGCTGTGCTTCTCCACATGGACGAGTTGGGAAGGAGAGGAGAACAGCAATAGCCTACCAGAAACAGTATGTGGATTTACTAGGGAAAAACTTTATCGTGCATCTTTCTGCAAATGGTTCTACAGAAGAAAATTAACACATCGGGCCTCTTTGGCACACAGCGTTAAGATAACTACTTCCACAGGAACTGTCCATTTGGGATGCCAGTCTCTCACACTCACAGACTTTCAAGCAGCCAATCCAATAAACATGCTAATTTTTTCTGAAGACTGAGAATGTGAAGGGCTTTCTGCTTTAAATATTGTTACGGGAAGCAAACACAAGTTACAATTGCACTCCACTAGTAAACAATATTAGAACCATAAAGGACTGCCAAACAGTCCAGACTTCAATCCTTCTCCATGTTCATAACTAAAAGAATTCACAGCCTACTTTTGGTGTGCTGGGGAGAACAGCAGGGAAGGACAGGAGCAGCAGAATACACTCGGAAAATTTTCCTGCTTTCCCTGCCACACTCTCAGGCCACACAGTTTCTCCTGCCAAAAAGACAAAAGGCTTAGTAAAAAGACATGAACTTAACAACCCCTAAATGTGTTGCCCTCTAGAATTCAGAGACAAAAGACTGGTATGCAAAGCATCACTGGGTAGAAAACTGCAAATTGATGATTTTGCCAAGTGAAAACCAAGTTCACACAGCTCTTGCCTTCCACCTTAGGAGAATACTAATGCATGCCCTTGATTTATATGTACTCATAAAACCTTTCAACCTTTCAGCAGTTGCATATTACATCCTGTACGGGATGAATTCAAATTCAACCATTAATTTCTCTGTCGCACCCAAAGTAAAGTTTGCATGTTTAAACTCTACTATCCTTTCTTGGAGCGTCAGAGAAAGCGGAAAACCAATTGCATTTAGCCAGTAATAAACAGTGAGATACACTTATGACAGTTGCCTCTTCATAGAACGCATTTTGGAGAAAAAAGTGCCATGATAAGAGAAATGTAACTAATAACCAGTAATCCTCACATGGACACAACAAAAATCCATCAAGGATCCTTGCTAATCACAGCAGTAATGTAAGAATATCAACCTTACAGGGGTCATGTACTTAACCCGGTGTGCTGCAGAGACAAACCGACTTTTCTCAGTCCTCCAGAAATGGACAAGGTGACCCCATACTACTTAATGCTTTTACACAGAACAATGATTCTGTATCTCTCTGGTTCCCACAAACTGGAAAGGAGAGCTGAAAATAAGGTCTGAGACATAGTTCTACATCATGGAAGCAGGATTTTGCCCTCAGCATCCCAAATTGTTCTTGATCATTAGATGTTATTAAAACTACATACTATGAGGCCACTGGGATTTTACCACAGCAGTTCCTTGGTACACTTTGAAAACAGAGGGAAACATGACACAACTTTAGGACGACTGCGAAGTCATGCAGTTTCAGGCAGGGAACGACAATATTTTGCTGGTAGTGCTTTGTAATTCGTGGTAAGTACCCAATAGTTTCACCAAAGATGTGAACTACCATGATAAAACTATAAAATGCAGCATCTTGGTGGGTGCAAATAAACAAGCAACAGTGCACCATTACACAAAGTCTCACCAGTCCTTTTCCTCTGCAGGAAAGCAATACTTCTTGAGCTTCTGTAATCTTTAGCAGCCAAGACTGGAACTAAGGGGGCAACTCTACAGAATAACCAACACAATTAGGTGCATATTCTATCTTGTCTATACAGGCCGATTCGGACAAGTCTGCATTCAAACAGCTAGCGCAGACACAGCAGTACATGCAAACAGCAAGGCCATGCTCTTCCTCTTTCATGACTGATTATATTCTGTTTAGTTGGATCATTTGACAAAAACATTTGGTTAAAGCTGGAGGAAGATTTGATCAGAGCCTACCAAGAAAACAATTAATTTAGCTCATCTTTCTACCTATTGAGTACCATTTTAACCTGAAGGTTGAGACTACAAATGATGTACAAAGCAATTTCATTTTTTGTGAATAGTGTCACCAAATGTCATGAAACTGAGAAACCTCAAAGCCAAGAGGTTCAAGTGGGTTCTACAGAACCTTGGGTGAAGGTTTTTCTTTCTCCCCTCGTGCTCCACTTCCCCATCTGGTCATGCTGACAGGCAAGGACTTGGCCTAATCAGCTGTGAAGCTGCTGCACAAAGTCGCAGTAGGAATATTCAACAAGTGGTTCCTCCCACGCTCACCTACGAGAGGGACCCCCAATTCTAAGTAATATGCTCCCTTATATACACTCCTCTTGGGATCATGCACACAGCAGCTGGTAAATGATAATATGAGAGCTATAATCTCATTGTCTAAGTAGCCTATGAATGCTTAAAATGAGTTACAAGAATGAAGTCATCCTTGAAATTGAGACATAAGTACCTATAAAAATTTTCTGCGGTTATTTACAAAGGGAGGAGCAAGAATACCTGACAATAACCATCCTGGAGAATATGGGGGGTATTGCTGCACCTCAGACCATTCTGAAGTATAACATTTATGTCTCCTTACAGCACAAATGTGGGAAAATTCATGTGCAATATTAGATAAATGTAGTGTGAAATAATGCCCAGAGCTAGCCCTGAAGCCCAAGAAATTATAGTACATTAACAGGGATCACAGTCTAGATATACTAAATGCACCTAAAAATACAATATTTAGGCAAAATACAGGATATAAAAATAACTCATTATATATGAAAAGCTGGCTACCGAGTAAACTCTTGAAATCCATACACCTCCTGAGTGTAGTTGGCAAGCCTGTAGGAGAGATTAACATGCACAGAAAGAACTTGCAGACTTTGGAGATTGAGGTCATTTTTGGAGAGAGGCTAGGAGGAAATACCTGTTGGCATATCGTTTCAAAAACATTAATTAAATTGAAGTTTTTTTCTGAAGCACTTGCTACTATGTTTGAAGGGTGGGATACGATGGGCTTGAGAGAAGCAACTTCTACCCTGCAGTAACCACTTGTGCCCAGACTCTTATTCCATGGCAACAGGGTGTCTGGTCATTTTTGTTGAAACTTCCTTGCTTTAACAAGGGGATAAAGAACATAGACATGACCAGCTACCATGGGACAGCTGGCACATCACACCCAAACCACCTTTTTCAATGTCCACACACATTCATTCTTTAACACTCTTTATGCATTCATGCATAAAACTAAACCAGAACAAATACAAGTAATTCATGTTGCAAGGCAAGAGACTGACTATTACTTCACGGATTCTCAGTTTCCAAAGAATGAAGTTATATTACTGTTCATGTTACAGAAGTCTTCATGCACAAAATGCTTTCCTTTGTTTTCAGCAGTCCACTGAAATTCAAACATGGATTTTAACAAAAAAAGTCTGTAAAAGTCAGTAACTCCTGTCACTTACTTGGCTTAGAGTTAATGACGACATTTTCAGCAGAGTGCTGGGGTGGAAACCTGCAGTTCTCGCCTTGGCCCTCACTGCTGCCATACTCAATGACTTCCACTTGTCCCAGCGGTACGCTCCACTTCAATAAATACCTCTGGCCAGTTGTCACGGTGCCACTGCTTTCGTAGGAAGAGCTGGAAGATGCACAAATTATTGCTGTGACAAGCAACTATGTTCCATGACATCCTGTTTATTATTTTAGCTTGTAGAATCTGCTGTTTATCAGTCTGAGTACCATGCACAACTTCAAACAAATTCATGCATCACCCTGACTTCTGTGACTGGCCTTTTCTGTGAGTGCAAAAAGCAGCTATGCAGGTGCAGATAATCTTGTTTACAAACAGCACAGGACTGCCAACAACAGTACCTACATTTCTATAACAAAACATAAATGACCGTCTTTTGAGATCAACGTGCATTTTGACACCCTTAAACAAGTGCTTAGGATGACATCGTGGCTCTGTCTTTTCCTAATTCTTTTGGATTGTGCTGTCTTTCAGGACAGTACTTGAAATAGCACTGAAGAGAAGTAACTGCTAGGTTTAGGGAAATATGGGTGGCAGGACCTTTGAGTGACTACCGGCAGGAGGAAGGGCAACGTAACCTCCCAAGGGCTGCTGAGCCCCACATCCCAGGATGTTCTTGCCAGCAGACCTTTGCAACTGCTGGGGCTTCTGAGAGCAATCCCACGCGAGTGCTGCTGCTGAAGTAAGCGTGTCTCACAACAGGCATTTCAGAGGAAACGGCATGCTGAGGAAGCTCACTGGGAATAGAAATGGCAGTAATACTCCTTTTCCTTCGTTTCCTTCGTTCCCTTATTCACATTCAAGCACATATAACAAAAGTTTTATAATAAAGGACAGAAGAGAGGTTAAAGCGAACAAGAAAGGCTTACTTCACAGAAGGCATGACTGAAATAGCAAGTTAAATGCTCGGGAGAAATCTGCAAAATGTATTTATTGTGAACAGGGCCTTGTTCACTGATGTTCAGCTACTCAGCTACCTATTCACAACACAGCCATACTTTTGTTTCATTGAAGAGGCAAATATGAACAAAAACCACAAATGCCACAGCTTAAGTAAATGTTTATAAACTTTCGATCTAGTTCAGATGAACGAAAACAAGACAAGGCAGGACACAGCTGGTCCATCACTAGGGTGAGCATCCACCCCATCCAACCCCTGCTACTTAAAAGGTCTCCAGTTAGAGACGGTCATCTACACTACATGTGAAGAAGGACCTTCTGAGCGTTATGTACTCTGCAGAAATACACATCTTTTGACAGCTGTACAAAATTGGTCTGGAACCAATGGCCCCCGGGTTCCTGGAACATCTGAGTTTTTCTGTAAAGGTTGGACAAAAGGTGGTTAAGAAAAGTGAGCTGATACATTCTGTGCAGCTAAGTGTCAAGTTTCTGATGAAGCCTACAGCTCCAGGGTGTATCTGCAGGCATGCACCTTGAAAGCCACTGCTATAACAGAAACCCAGCTTAGGTAAGATCCTATCTTCTACACAGCTAAAATGAGGAGAAATAAAGCTCATCCTACATGAGCCCAACAGGCAAGCGGTACATTCTATAGCATACACTTATTTTGAACCGAGTAATTCTGGACTGGATACAGGTTTCACACGTTAAATTTGGCAGCTTAATTCCTTCAGTCTATAACTATATTTTGCATGACAAAGGTAGTTCCTCCTGCACTAAAAATCTAAGAGCAGTCCATCAGTTAATGAAGGCATCTTGAATCCACACACACAGCTTGTTAAGTGGACCCACACACAACTGAACAGCCCGAGGAAGTCACAAACCCTTTTTTTGCTAGTGAATAAAACTAGAAATAAAGTCAACTTTCTAAAACCCCACTGTTATATAAATAAGCGAGTTGGAAATGAAACCTTAACTTCCAGAGAAAGCCATAATTAAACTTTTCCAGAGTTAGCAAACCCCCATGACACACGCATGTCCAATTACCATCCCAAAGGAGGTTGCTCAGAACCCGTTAATGCCCATGGGAACATCAGTGCTGTCAGTGATAACCAGAACTGTTGACTTAATAAGGAACCCAGAGGCTTAGCATAATCATGAACTTTTACGGAAAATGAAAACAGACTGCGTGTTGCCACTTCAGGGACAATTACAAAAAAAATCCAAGACAACAATGGTTAAAAGCAATTTCCTACCAATCAATTGTAAGAAAATACCCAGGTGTTATTACAAAAATTAATAAATTGTAAAGGAGTAAAAAGTTGAATTGCTAGGTTAACTGGGCATAAGCTTGTGCATTTTCTGAAGTGCAGTTATTACATGTGCATTACGTTACATTCACTAACATGAGACAAGCATTCACACGTTTACAAGAATATGTACTGTGTTCATACTTCAGTAACGAACTAAGATAACAACTCATATTATCCTTAAGAAAAGCCATTCTTGGAAGATTTTAATGGTGCACATTTTCTCTGTCAGAATATACCATCACATAACGTAATTTATGATACTAGCAACATTTGAATGTGAGTGTGACCTTGGTATACACAGAGGTATAGTAACAATAATAATTATGGCCATCTAAAACACAGAAGGCACTATGAAAAAATACTTTCTTCAGAGCACCTCGGCTTTAATCCTTCAATGTTTGGTCTCAAGAGATAAAAACACTTCCCCAGCTGGAACTCTGCTAGTGAGTTAGTTCCAGGTTTTTAATGGCTACATGCATTAGCTTTGTGGTTTTTTTTTTTTAATTTGCAACTTGTGCCAAGTTACAGATTTGTGTGTGTGACAGTATGAATTTAAGGAAGAAAATAAATCCTACCTTGGCGTGCCTGCACTCTACTGAAGACTAATATACAGCCATAACTAGACACTGAATAGCCTTTCTGTTTGTAATCTCCAACTGATATAATTTTCTTACAAATTTACTCTAGAATTTCCAAACATCATCAGGCAATTTAGAGGACTGTAAAAAAGTTAGTTATTCATTTATTATTACTACTGCTATAAATCATTAGCCATAGTAAAAACAACAATGAAAAAAATTTCAGAATGCCATTTATTCCAGCTGAAGCGTGAATGATCATTTTAGAAACATGAATCACGTCTTACCGAATATTTACTGTGGCACACATCAGCACATCGTTTAGCATGAAAAGTCGTCGTTCTTTTGTTTTGATAATTTCTCCTTTGTCATTGTAAACAGTCTCAACCATATCATCAGTCCGTATGAGGTATCTGTTTCCACTGCTGAGTAGCTAGATTTTAAAAACAATCAACATTATTTATTATACATGGTACATCTAACATCCAGTGCAAAAAAATAAAAGAAAATACAATGGGTTATCACTTGCCATCCTAGCACAAGTGTTTGCAGGTGGATTTGCCAAGTGAATTAAGCTGCTTTGCTGATTTGCTTTTCATTTAGAGAAACAGTAACTTCTGCTGCCAGCAGTATGGCCTGCAGGGGTTTTCGGTCTTAATAGGGAATGTTAAGTGCTCTGAAAACCTTCCACACTGATAAAGGTCCCCTAGAGAAAAAAAAAAAACAACATAGCTTCCAAAATTTCAGTTGTTTCCTTCCCTCATCCCTTCTTTCACAGCCCATTTAAGTGCTACGCATGGTCCCAGACATCACAAAGGGGGAAGTCAGGGTGGGAGGAGGAAGAGTACTGGATCCAGGTATATCTCGATTTGTCTCCCTGGTATAGAATATACAAGATTTTACAGTTTATATAGACTAACAAAAGGAAACCTGTACCACCTCTTAAAACACACATTCCGTGTCTTGAAGTCCTTCAACCACTTGTAGATGACTAGCAGCTGCTTCAAGAAGCAGGAGTATGAAAACTAGAAAGTAAAATGTCTGAATCCATCTTCTAATGCACTTAGAATGGAAATACTGTTCCACTATGACAATAAATTCAGTATCCCATTTTTTTTAATAAATAGCCTAAAACAAGTATGTGCTGACTACTTTCTTTTCAGAAAACTGTTTTTATGCATCACAAACAAAAATACTCCTTGCATTCTATCAGCATGTCCCCATTACTCCACCCCAGAATGAGTTCAGTATAATCATCTGTAACCTCATGACAGCAATAATTGAAGTATTTATGCCCCATCTCATAGGAAAGGAGGAAATATGTATGATGCAAATAAGACAAGCATACATATATCCACAGCAAGATCGCTACCGACATACTCAAATGAAGAAGATGGTTACTTCCTTCCTTCTGAATGTCTTCTGCAGTTCTTTAAAGACATTTCTATTGAATAATCCGAATACATGAATGAAATAGACTGGGATGTTCATTAAAACAAGGAAGATGTTGGACACCTTCAATAGTGTATCTTGAACTGCTCCATAGCCAGAAGCACTGAAATAGAAGGAACTGCTTCCTTCCTTTATATGGAATAATTCCCCAGTTCCAGGATAAATTCAAAATTCAGTTTTGAATTTATCAGAAGATGTGCATGAGACTTTACTACAGGATGAGGGAACAGCTTTACCTATACATTGCCAAAGAACACTAATACAGCTGCTGCTATTTCAGCACGTCGCCTGCTCCAGCACACAGTGGTTTAAGCAGCGAACCTATTCAGTCCTGGAGGTAGCTCCAATCTCACACCTACCACTAGAACAACCCCACAGAAGAACCTCAGGCAGCTCTTTGGTGTCTGTTCTAAAGATTGCTCAAGGCCCAGAAACTAATAATACACAAACTCTTCCATCACACATTCTTACTTCCTAACCTTGTTCAGGTAACGTTCGTTCATTGCTTTTGCTATTTGTTTTATTTCACAGCGCTGATCTGCATCCCTTTTTCTTTCATTTAACTTCTCTGCCAGTGTTTCGAGTTCTGTAAGAGCCATCTGTAGAGGTAATCTATCAGGATGCCCTTTATTAGTGTTCTTCAACATATCCTGAGGGGAAGTCATAAAACAAAACAAAATAAAAACACTTAAAAATTAAATTTCAGCTTTAATTTAAAAGTTAAGTTCAGAAGATTACAGGATGTAATGTTACTGCTGCATTCTTTACCCAAGCAATACTAAAGAGCATGACCAATGAACACCTAATGAATATTGAAACAGCAGATTGCTTATTTTCCTGAATACCTGAATAGGTCTTAAAAAAGATACTGAATGGGGTCACATACTGCTTATTTACAGGAAGGAAGTACAGTAAAGGAACTTGAAAATGAGTGTAAAAAATGCAAATGTGAAGGTAAATTAGAAAATCCACATAATATTAAGCACAATTTGAAAGTCAATATTCTAATATAATATGCAGGTGTCTGTAAGCAATGATTTAAAATTAAACTTTTCTGTTATTTTCTAACATAATAATATGGTATTATCTTTATTACTTATTTCTCACTAAAACACTGGCAGCACACTCATCCCAAAGTAGACGACTTCATGGAGGTTGCAAGAGCCTCTAAAAATCTTTCCCTTTTGTAGGCATGCAGTGAAACAATTTGAGTGAAATTTTTGCTTCTTGCCCACAGTGCTTAAAAATCCCTACGTATTCACTCTGGCTTCCTGCCGCAATAAACTCCGTTCCTTCTGCTAACTCAAAAACTCTTGCCACGACCCGCATGCTCCCCCCACGACTACCTCTGCTCCTTCTCCCACAGTCATTCCTGGACCTGCATCCCAAAGCCTGGCCTCCGCCTATGGCACCTGCAAAACCCAGCTAACTCGTAGCGCTCGCTGGGATAGACCTGCTGTGGTCTGGAAGGAGTAACAAAGTTGGTCTGGGGCAAGTCTACGCTGGGGAACTCTTCTTTTCCTACAGCTCGACTCCCTTTTAAGAGAAGACCCAAGGACTCCCTCTCAAATCCTCAATTTCCATGGGAAGAAAAACAAGACGCTGCAGGTCAGAAGGAAGCTGCAACACAAGCAGGTCCAGTCAGCCAAGCAGTCAGAGAGAGTGTGCACTTTTGTTCCACATCCCACATGTATTCTGAACTATCCAAGGCATGAATTACATCCTCTTGTATTTTTCTTAAAGGGTAAGTAATGCCACAAAGTTCCTAGTGGCACTTTGAAGTGTTATTACCTAACGACCTGATATGAACAAGTAGCACATTTGAATACAGCTTTACTGCAAAGTGGCTTACAAGCTTAATCTAACCTAGCAAGTAATCTAGAGTAAATCTAGTTTACACAGATCTTCCTGCAGTGTATTTACTGCCTGTCCCTGCAATCAGACTACGAGATCAGCACATTACGATACACTGAAATTTTATCTTTGTTTTTTCCCCATGATCCAGTGGTCACCTCCGACAGTGTGCTCTTCCAACAGAAGGCAGCTACCATGCCATCCCACAAGCAAACCACAGAAGAATGCAACAAGAGCATCCCTTTGGTAAACATTATTTACCTGCAATAGCAGAATGAACTGTGGAAAGCGCTGGATAGGTTTCATCATTAAACCATACAGTGTAATTCGATCGGGGCTTGACTCCTGGCACTGCTGCAATGCGAGAAAGCCACACTGTTTACTATATGTGAGCGTATTTCCGTCAGTTACAGAATGAAGGAAAACATTTCCTGAAAATTCTTCTACATCTTTTATAGTAATTGTAACAGTGGTACTGTAAAGATTCCATTTACTATAAAGATTTCACTTTAAAATATTAAATCTTCAAAAAAAATAAGAACACTAGTAAAATGATGGCATGTCACTGAACTGAAATCTCCTCCTTCAATAAATACAGCTAGGATAAAGCTACACCAGCAGTGCAGCACCTAAGTATATATCAATACAGCACATTCATGCTTTTTACATAAGCAGTGCACTGAAACATCTGCTTAACTTCAAGCATAACAAAGGGAATGTACTTGTTCAAGGTGTTAAATTTGAGAGATGTAAGTGATCTGTTGATTTATAGTCCATAATTTGCTATTGCTGCTCTGTTTCTTGGGGTTAAGAGACTATAAATCTCTAACTACCTATGTGTTTTTAAGAGGAAATCTAAGGAAAACATCATAATCTCATTGTTACGCAAACAAAAAGGTTTTAATTTTCTTTATTAAAAGAACACTGATTTATATTTGGAAGGAAAAACATAAGAATCCATTATTTTGGTTATTGGGACTGGCAGATAAAACCACATAAATTTCATTTGCATGTGCAGAAAAGCTCTGTTTGTATAAGATATTTCAGCATTTGGAAATATTTGGGGCCAGAATCACAGTTAATCCAAAAAAAAAGGAGAGTAGAGGAAATACTCAACATTAAAAAGAAAGCAAACACAAACAATAATAAAATGGTGGTGTGCTTAAATTGATATTTATTGCTACAACTATCAGCTTCACAACAATTTATTTCCATATTTATATACACAAACTTTTTTTTTCCCCCCTCAAACAGCAGCAGTTGAAGATTCTGGTCTTTGTTGCTGGTGGGCAAACAAAAAAAGGAAGGTACAGAAATGCCTTCTGTCCTCAGAGTTCAGCTGTGAGTCCCCAGCTCTGGGCAGTACCAGTGCCGGCATGACAAGCAGTGATGAGATGTGTAAGTTATGCCTCTGCTGGAAAAACGGGCTTTTAACAGCGTGAGAGGCATGAAGTGACTATACGCTCGCTAGAGGGTTTGATCTTCATGGTGCCTAAGGCTTCCAGAATATAATCCTGTGTAGTGGTGGCCACACTCCAAAAAGTTGTTAGTTAATTTTAAGATCTGAAGACAGATTAGGAAACAGCCCCCCATCACCAACCTCTAGGCAACCTAAGAGCTTCACTATTTAGTTTGCCTCGGGCACCCAATTTCAGTGTTTGGTGGACCACTGCAACAGACCCGACAGGGTGACAGCTCTGAGAGGCACAACTCAATCCAGGACTCTCAGGGAATGAGACAAGCAGAGCTTGCAGGCTTCAGCAGTGTCACAGACAGACTAAAAGCCTTGCAATGGATGTTGTGTGCCCTTTTTAAAGTTATCCTCCCTAGGGATTTACAGTACTTCTACTGCATGTACCAGCCTCTCAATTCCCATCATCAGAAGCATCATATTCATCAGGGTAATATGCATTCTGCACAAAAATTTTCCGTTTCAACTGCAAATTGGAAACATGATTTTCAAAATACTAGGAAATTGTCATGGAATGGAAATCTAGTTACACCACTCTGCACAACACAATAAAGAAGTCAGAAGTAAAATAAATCCCAAATAAGAAGATGCCTCAGATGGTGAACTATTATTTGAAATTCACCTGCTATGAAAGAATCCAAATGTTTTGCCAAGTACAGTCATGCAAACACCAAAAAACGGATCTGAACAACAACAAAACCACTCTACACTTCAAAATTCATCCTAGATTTAACATCACATTATTATTCTGAAAGTACAGTACTGGAAGTGAACACTCTGGGGATTTTTTTTGTTCTAAACCCATAAAACATAAAACCAGAGTCATTAAAACAGTCATACATGATACAGTGTCAGCCGTCAAATTTCCTTATATAAACTTATAATTTATGCTGTCTTATTTATATCATATGCCCAGCTTGGTTTAAGATTGAACAAACGCACCTTTAAGAAGTCTAAAAAGGCAGGTTTGGTGGCACATGATTTCTTGAGAATCCCGACTGCTGTACTGAAGTTGTTTACATACTCGCTGTATGCATCCAATACCATAGATTTAGAAAACTGAAAACATAAAAGGGTAAACATTAACTATAAACACAAAAGATCCCTGGAAAGCACAACTATCCAAACCTCTGACCATTAAGGACTCGCCTTGCTTGGAGCTAAGGTCTTTGCTTGGCCAGAAATACTGGTGGAATAACCTTTCTGTAGAAGCCAGGTTGAAAACCTAAAGATGTAACAGCTGTGAATTACAAAAACTAAAGTTACAAAAATAGCTTCATCTTGGCTAGGACACTAGGGCAAGAGCCTGGGGACTATGGGCGATCAAAGGGCAGCCACTGAGATTTAAAGCAACTGCTGGGATCCCCTGATCATCTCACTGCTGCCCATCTGCCACTGGTAAGGTTTTACCTGGAAAGCAGACAGATCGTGTGGCTTGCAAACAGCCACGTGAAGTGTAAGATTGCTGCCCACAGCCTCCTTAGTAATTTTACCCCTCTCTTCTGCAGAGCTGATCTCATTAACACTACCCAACTTCCCTCAGCCAAAACAAGACAGGTTTGCTTTAAACAGCAAATCTTTAGTAACTGTTTCATTTTGACCAAAATGGGGTCAAGGCTCTCAGAGACACAGACCCCAGCTCTCTTACAGCAGGCATGAAAAAGTGGTAATTTCCAGCAGCTGGGTGGCAACAAACCAAAGCACTCAAACCAGCAGGTAGGCAGCCTTTGCCGTCCACACGCTCACGGCAGGAACAATGTCTTTCTTAGCAACCAAGGCCACTTGTATTCTTTAATTTAAAGCAGTGGCTAGTTCAGTCCTTTACCGGGTGGACTTCCATTAAGCATGGGATAGTGTTTTACAAGTAAAGTACTCTTTACCTGTGCCCCAGGCTCAGTTCAAACCCAGGAGTTCAGGACATCACCTACTGTGTTTTTTTCCTACTCCCAACAAACATACTATGTATGACTACCTACTTTTTAAGAGATGCTGAGCCTCAATCTCACCTTAATTTTGGTGGGTTTGTGAATCTCTATCATCTCAGAAAAAGAAACTGTTTACTTAAATGTCTGAAAGCTTGATCAAAGCCTGAAAATTTTGCCCACAATCCTTTCACATCTGCCAACCAAGCTGAAGACATGTGTTGGTGTCACTTTCCTTACCAGGATGGTACATACATACTCTGGCAGTTGCCACAGGCATTGGAGAATATAGGAACAAAGTGGCCACGTTAGACAGAAAGATATGGAGATGGAATAACATGCTTAAAATAAAAACATATTATCTGTTCAGATGCATTTGCTTACTGAAGCAACAAAGACATCACCAATCATTTCAACAGAGTCCCACTCAGACACACGACTCGCCAGCGCAATCTGAAACATTGAATGGCACTGAAGAATTTCCTTAATTCGATAAAAGACCATTTTGAGTTTTCTTTCACTCAATAATTTTGGTTCCATATCTGAAAGGGGCTTCTCATATTGCTGTGGGGAAAAAAAAAAAAAAACAAAACAACAAAAATAAATTTAAACAGACAAAAAAGATATCTTCTATAAGCAGAAAAAAACAACTTGTGTAACAGGATACACACACAAAATCTCTGAACATTTGGCATGAAGCATCTGTAGCAAAAGCGATGTTTAGTTGTGCCACAGATTCTTTAATGATTTGATTATTTTTAAATTTCCAAATTAAAAAATGCAAGAGATATTAAGGTACCTCCAGGATTCTTTTGAGAGCATCCACGTAATTCTTTTCACTGTCAACTACAGAGCCCAAAATATACCTTCTCACAACCTGTTGAAGAAATAAAGTTTTGTCTGAAGGTAACATGTTCATCATAGTTGGAAATGCTGATGATAAAATTCTTGCATTAATAAAACACAAGAAACACAGAGCAATTTAAAAAAAAAAAATTCAAACAAAAAATTTCAAAAAACTTCAAACACAAAGCAATACTGGAACTGCAATAAAATAATACTGTACCTCTTCAAAGGTAATTAAATTTACTATTACTTTAAAATAATTTCAAGACTACAACAGTTATTGTATCTATATCTATATTCTTTGCCGACTGTTGCAGTTCTAAGCTTTACTTTTGAAACTCGTCTTTTAATTTTAGATGTATAAATTTAGGCATTGATATAAATAATAATAGGTATAGATGTTGGCTACTCCAGTGAATTGCTGCAACAAAATAGGTAACCAGTTTTCCAAATCAGTCTTTGAGGTTAGTTTTCTTTTTAAAATATGTTTTATAAATTTATTAGGAGTAACTTGAAGGACAAACAAGCAAACATTAATTGCCTTTTTAAAGTAAGGCCATATAAACTGTGCCGCTGAGAAAGTATCTAAGTCAGCGTTCTTTTTCACAGAATCATTAAGGTTGGAAAGGATCTTCAAGATCATCAAGTCCAACCATCAACCCAACACCACCATGCCCACTAAACCATGTCCCGAAGTGCCACGTCCGCACATTTTCTGAACACCTCCAGTGATGGTGACTCCACACCTCCCTGGGCAGCCTGTGCCAATGCTTGACCACTCTCCGTAAAGACATTTTTCCTAACATCTAATCTAAACCTCCTGCCTCTAAACCTGTTTGGATGTTACCACGCGTTACCATTATATTCATACCAACTGACAGAGTTGTAAGAGCTTCAGGAAATGCTACCATTTCTCATGTTTACAATCTACAGGCTATTTGTCACACCTCCTTCTCCACCTCCTGCTTCTGCAATTCAGCTGAAACGCACGCCGGATGCATGTGTGGGTGACATGACAGGAAGGACTGGGGAACCTATTTGGTTTAAAATCTAGACTTCTTAGTGTTCTTGAATAGATTTCTTCCTAGTTTTAAGGATTTGTTTTCACCCAAATCCATTGCCTAATCCAGCTCATCCCAGGGCTGGATGAGGCTTTTTTTTTGAAAAAAAGTGGGACTCTGAGGGAGAAGACAGCACAAGGGCAGGATCAAGCCCCTCCCCAGAACTACACGGGACAGCAAAACTGCTTCTTTTTTCTGTTTTAAGCTAGCCTAAATGACCGTGAAACAAAAAACTCAGACTTTCTCCTGATCCCCACAGTCTCCTGCCTCCTCTGCCATGGCTACTTTTAATTCTCCACACTTGTATTTTGCATTATTAAATTAACCACAGGTTATGCAACAATTTTCTTTCAAGTACTGGCATTTCAAAGGAAGTCTTCTAAGGCCTCGCTTAAAGATATAAACAGTAAAATTAGTTGTGTCTAATTTGTGTTTAGAATGGATTTAGCAGCGTCTTATTTGGTATAACGTTAACAGCTGCTCTGGTAAAGGATACTAACTCTACTTTTAGTCACAGTTCATTCTTCTGAAAAGAGTAAACATCTGTAGAAAATGTTTTTTTTTCAGGCTCTATAATCCACAAAATAGACACTTAACAGTGCGTACAGGTTACTGCAGTAGATACGCGCAGCTTACAAGAGGCTTGCACGCGAGCCTTACACTTTATTCACATTTTCGCTAGTAACAGCGGCACACAAGCATGAACAACTTACCGCAAGAATTCAGGTTCCAGTAGTAAAACGAAGCAAAAGCTGAGACCCCCGACTGAGACCCAGCGCGGGACACACAGTATTTGAAGGGGCACCAGATTTTACACAAAAGCTGCCGTGCCACCTGCTGTCTGAAACACGCACGTTCATGAAGTCATCTCCTTGGTGGCGGAGCCGTCCGGCTTGGAGGGGCCTTCTGCCCTTCGCCCTCTCCCGCCGGGATGCCCAGGGCCGCTGCGCAGCCCGCGGCCCCCAGCCCGCGCCCTGGCACTGGGTTAGTCCAGCCCTGAGCCAGGACTTGGGTTGGCCTCTGTTGAGCTGCTCAAGTTTTTTTCTCGATCTCAGCCCATCAAAGCCACGCTGAGCAGCACCCCATCCTCCCACACATGGCCTGCTGCACCCCTCCGTTTCGGTATCGCCTCCAAACCTGCACCACAGCTGGTATCCCGGTTGTTAAGAAAGGCATCAAACATCATGGGCCCCGTATACACTCCTGAGGGACATCACTAACACTGGCCGCCCGCTGGACTTTGTACTGTGGACTACAACCTTCTGAGCATGGTGGCCTCGCTTGTTTTCCAGCCACCTTCCAGTCCACCCACACAAATGGTATCTTACCTGTACGGCTAGAAGGGTCCTTCAGGAGACTGCTGAAAGCCTTGCTAAAGCAGAGGTGAATGAGCAGAGGTGAATCCTCTGCTCTCCTCTGCCCACAAGCCAGTCATCTCGAAGGGACTCGGGCTGGTCAGACACTGATCGACTCTGGTCCATCTATGCTGACTGTTCCAAATCACCCTCCTGTACTTCTGAACCCAGAAATAGCTCCCAGGAGCATTTGCTTCATCACCTCCACAGGGACTGTGGTGAGGCCACTAGCTAGATCCTAGTTTTCCTCCTTCTTGCTCATCTTGAGGATGGGTGTGAGATTCACCAGTCATCTGATAGCTGGCATCTTAGACAACAGAGAAAGGCCTTACCCTCAGCACCCCTAAATCCATCCCATCTGGTCCCACAGACCACCACTCATCCAACTGACCCCAGCACCCCCCAACTGCAGGTAATTCTTCACTCCAGCAGGACCTGCCTCCAGGCTCAGGAGCTTGAAGATAAACCTCGCTGGTAAAAGCTGAGGCAAAGGTGGCACTGAGTACCTCGGTCTTTTCAGTGCCCTTTGTCACTAGGTCCCTGCCCCATCAAGCAGCAGACTCATATTTTTCTTATCCTTCCTTTTGCTGCCAGTGCACATATAAGAAACCTTTCATTGCTGCCCTTCACACCTCACTAGCTCCAGTTGAGCGCTGGCTTTCCTAACTCCATTCCTTCCACTTGGGCAGCTCCTCCTGGGTAGATACGCAACATACGTCATGACCTGCACAACAATTACTAGTTTGCTCCAAACTAAGAGCACTCTATTCTTCCAACAGAGGGTATATTTATTTTTAAGTACCTACAGAAAAACCCCTGTGAAACTCTTAAACCCCGACTTGGAAAGAAGAAAAAGACAGCATTCAGATTGATGCTGAGCTCTTACATTATAATGAAATGTTACAGTAACGTAACACAGTTTGGTAGGTGCATTGTTACAAGATTAGCGCTTCACTGTGCTAAACACATTAGAAAAATAAACCTCGCCAAGCAAACCAAAAAATTTGTACCACTGTCCTCAACTGCCCCTTAATTTGTGGGTTTTTTTTTTTCTCCTCATTTTCTGAAGGTACTCACCAACTCATGACTTGAAACCACAAGCAGCAAAAAAAATCTCATACAGTTATTACTTGTCATAACAACACAGTAACATGAACCCATGGGATTTTTTTCAGCCAAAATTTCTAACTGGTGCCAATTTCAGTGTTTTTTGAAGTGGTTTCCACAGTGACTATAGAGTTTGAGGTGGAGAATGGCAAAATACACTCTTCTGTAGACTTGACTTCATTTGGGACAAGTGTTTTTCTCATCAGGAGAAACCTTAAGATTCAGAGAGTATACAGGATATTCTCTACATTTAAAATAGAAATACTGGAGCATGTCAAACAATGTCTTCTGACTCAATAAAAATGTTTAAACTCTTTTCTTTTTCACTCAAACCCATCATATTTAGTTTAAGCATTCAGGTAGTGAAATAATATAATTATTATAGATAATTTTATAAGGCAAAACAGCATTTTGCATCTCTGGCTGAATTCAGGGCTGATGCAACTATATGCACATATACCAATTTTAAAAAAACTACTTACTTAGTTCTAAATTTTATGTCCACTTAATTGATGTTAAATGCCAATATGCTTGAAGAGGAAGGCACTTGGGAGCCACTGATGCAGACCGGAAGGGGAGGAAAAAGAGGCAGAAGACTGTATTTCAAAAAGCCTACTACCTGCTGCTGTGATAATCCTTCGGGCATAGGAGTCATAATTGCTTCTGTATGCACACAGTCGACATCAATAAATAAATTTAACTCTTCTTCTTCCAGACATGATGATCTATGATCTACAAATAATTAAATAACAAAGATGTCAACTTTTACAACATATAGATTGAAAGAAGGAGGGGGAGGGGGAAGCAAGGATGATATCATCCAAGCGCAGTAATTACACAGGAGTCTTATTTCCATTTCACTTGCCAAACAAAAGGCATTTCCCAGCACTTCTGCATGACCTATGAAATCACATAAATACTACCACCGATAGGCACTCTAATACAGAACACCTTTCAAAGGTTATCTCAAAATCCTAAAATCTACACAGCAGGAGACAGCCTATGCATCTTTTGCTTGACCTCTACTCCCTCTTCACAGCCTAAACAGGGCTGTCCAGAGTGCAGGGTATGACAACTAGGGTTAAAGCACTGCAGCTCCAGGGCCAGCAGTTTCGAAATAAATGACCGTTGGGAAGAAATTAAATACACCCATAACATGATCCAGCTTTAAAAAATTCCACACACCCTTCCATAACTGAACTAAAATAAGTAGCCAAATGTTGGCTTTTGTCAGAAGTGAGAGTAAGGGATTCTGCATTGCTCCCTACATAATAATTTTACCTAAAAAGCACCACCAGAGCACAGTGGTAGGTGGCAGCATGCAGCCAGCCAAACAAGCAGACCCGAGCAAGAGAGAAAGAAAGAACAGTATGAGAAATTGCCTCTTAGAACAAAAAGGGATAAGGGAAACAGGGCTGCTGTCTGGGAGGAATTCATGACTTTATTCGACGGATTGGTCACTAGCACCCTGCTGATTTGGGAAGTGGCTAAGGGATTAAACCGTGCACAGATATCCTGTGTCTGCTACATAGCCTCTAGAAGCGTGAGGAGGAGTGCCAGGTCCACTGTAACACTGCCCTGCCGAAGCAGATCATTTTCTGCGGTGCAACAGCAAGAAGTCTGGGGACAAACTTTTTAGCAGAGCCTGTTGTGAGAGGACGAGGGGTAAGGGTTTTAAACTAAAAGAGAGCAGATTCAGACCAGATATAAGCAAGAAGTTTTTTGCAATGAGTGTGGTGAAACACTGGCCCAGGTTGCCCAGAGAGGTGGGAGATGCCTCATCCCTGGAAACATTCCAGGTCAGGTTGGACGGGGCTCTGAGCAACCTGATCTAGTTGAAGATGTCCCTGCTCATTGCAGGGGCTTTGGACTAGATGGCCTTTAAAGATCCCTTCCAACCCAAACTGTTCTATGATTCTAAGTTAAGGACACATTTTTGATCACTAAAGTTTGTGCAAATAACTTTCTTTTTTTATGTCTGTGAATTAGGTAAGTTCAGAACTGTGAGATGCATCCTGGTCCTTACAGATAGGATGTCAGCTCACTCACTAAAAACGTCTTGTCCACTCGTGCTTTTAGCTTCCTAAAATTGTAGTTTTATAAGCTCTGAAGTTACCACCATTCAATTCGTTGGGCAGAAACTTGAGCAGAAAGACATACTACCTCTCAGGCCTATCCTGAAGAAGAAATAAGTTTGTATTCAGCTAATAACGCCTGCCTCTTGCAAAAATTAACTGTGGACTGCTGCTGCTAAGGCTCATGATAGAGGGCTGACATTTATTCTTAAATACAGAAAGAACACAAATACTTTTAGCTTTTTGATTTTAGATCACTTTGTTTTCACAATCCAAACTTGGCTTTCATCAACAGTTTCTTCCCCTACTCCCACTCAAGTACAGAAAGTGTTTGTTACCCCTTAGTCATGACAATCTTTTTAAATAGTCAACTATCACTCCACTGAAAATCATGTCATAACAGCACTTTCCTGACATTCAGGAGTTACTCAATGGAGGGAACGGGACAGACTTAGTACCTTAGTACTTAGTTACAGAATTTCCATACTCCCATATACCAATACCTAGATAGCATCTATGACACTGTTTGGTGGGATTTTTTGTTGTGGTTTTAAGTGGACTCTTCTCTGCGGTCCTCAGGTTTCTCAGGTCACTCAGGTTCTTGCCCCAAACCTAAAACTACTCAAGATGCATTGATCTTACTGTCATTTGAACCGAATATTATACTATACTTTATTGATATAAAGTTGATTTCATGTATCCAGTACTCAGTCTCCAGTACAAAAACCTGCTAAGTCATTCACTTCCTTTCTCAGAAATTACTAGAGATAGTAACAAAGACAGTATAATTGGCACATACCTTGAGAAATAAAAGATTTTGTTCTAATGAAAGAACGACCCTTTTTCACAGCTGCTTTTGTCTTTTCGAGCCCATCTTTGGTACCTTCTCTAGCAGCTCTCATAAGTTTTTGCATCTGTAAGATAAAGAATACAGTCTACATGTTCAGTGAATAATAGGAAAATGTTTGAGCATATAATGCAGAATACTTTTGCTTAAAATATCTTTTAAAAGAACACTGTCAAGTAGTTTATGCTACAAATACAGCCCAAAGTCAAAGATTTTTACTAAGTAAACAGATCCATCAAAGCTCAGATCTGAGCACCTGTACCTTTTCTTAATAAAATCAAACTTGGAGAAAAGGACTGACTTCATGGCAATATTGTATCTGAGCCTAAAATAGCAGAAATGCTTAAGAACCCTTCTGCATCAAACCTGTGAACTCAGAATTATCTCAAATGCTCAGCTTCACATTATACAACAAATAAACACTATGAACAGGTCATTAACAGCCAGGGTTCTTGTCCATTCTCCAGTGTCCCACTAGCTCTGCCGAAGTATTTCTAACCTAAGGATAATCCCCTAGATTCAGTTCTATATTAACTATATTCTTAAATAAACACTGGTTTGCAGAAAATGTTACAGCTAATAATTGTATTAATTGAAGAAATAAGTTGATTTAATTAATAATTGCATAATTTTATAGTACACTACTACAGCAAAAAGAAATTTCATGCAAAAAAAAAAAAATGAAGTGTTGTTTTGCTAGGAAGTGTTTATTAAAAAAACCTGCCTTGTACCTTTGCTTTCCCAAAATGCCACCACCACAAAAAATCCCCACTGCTGTCAGAGCTGTGCTGACATCGTCAACGACATCAGAACACAACCAAAGCTGCCTTTGCTGCCAGCAGGCAATTTCTCAGTTTGTGCCGAAGCTTTTAGCAAAAAGGCAGCCGTTTCAGCCTGGAGAAGTCAGAATGGAGAGCAGCGGAGCTCTGACCCCCCAGTTTGATCCCACGTGGCCGGGGTGCCTGGGCTCGCCCTGGGGCACTCCCCCCGCGCTCAGGCAGGTGCCAGGGCTGTACGCCTGGCTCACCCTCTGGGGTACGGGCACAGTCGGCAGGGAAGGACGATGCCCTATCTCACCTTCTGAACCTGCTACCCTTAAAAATAAGCATGAGGAAAGGCCCCTGACAAAGTACTTTTAAAACAAACTGCGTAATAATCCAGCACCTTTAGAACTCATTTCATACAAATTACTGTTCGCTTTTTCAAGTTACTATTAAAAAAATAATACATTGTCTGTGTTGGAAAAGCAATCATTTAAACATAGCTAATTACAAAAATCAACTACACTACCTTCAGCTCATGTTTTTGCTTTAGTTGCTGAATCTCTACTGCTCCCACAGTGTTTGTCATCAAATCTTTCATCTTTCTTTCATAATGCTCCTTTAAACGCGTTAGGTCATGAGAAAGCTACAGTGTATAAAAAAACACAATCTTTTCAAAAAGCCTGCAGTGAAAACTTCACGCTAAAGTACTCGCATAAATCATGCACGTTGCCCGGCCTGCTTAGGGATACACAGACAACTGAGGGAAAAAATTGTCATTTGGGGGAGCTCCGACCTGACGAATGGACCATCACTGAACATCACTGAACATTCTGGAACTCAGCCAGGCGCCTTTCTGCCAGCAACTATGTAAAGAGAAGGTCAAAGTCACTTAGGCTAAGCTAACTGTATGAACTACGTTGTGCACATCTCTTACATACCATATGGAAACGACGCATCAGCTTTACCCACGAGCATCATTCAGTGGAGCACAAACCCTCGTGAGTACATTTCTGACTATCCTTCAAAACGGTGAATCAGAAGAATTCTCAAGGTCTGAAGAACCTGCAGAGGGTGCTGGCACCTGAGAAGATGGAGACCGACAGTGCCAGCAAGTTGGGCAAGGAGACACTAAGAGGGGAGGATGCAGCTTTGTAATTCCCAAGTGCATGGGGATCGGGAAGTGCATGTTTTCCCTCAGCTTTATCATAGCCTCACTGTATGACCATGGGTGTAACCATCTCATACATGCATATATCCATTTGCAAGGTAAGTAAACTATCTCAGAGAAATGCTCTGGAATACTAATTAACATTTGTTAAACGTTCTAAGACAGAGAGGTAAAAAGAAGTTAAAATGTAACTAGAAAAAAAAGAAAATATTTGGTGTGCCCTATAATGGAAGTCCAATGGAAAAACCCTCAGCTTGATGTCAACAGAGTTATTTGGCAAGAGATGAAAGCATCAGAAAAAAGAAGGCCTGCAGAGTTGAAAACAAAGGGACAGGTCTGGCATTTAGCTGCACGAGGCTGGGTCAGGATGAGATTATCTCCAACATGACAACTCTAGTCTGGTTCACAGACTAGAAACTCTATACAAAAACTTCTCTGTCAGGAGTCATAATGAAAAAGTGACTTTGAGGGAAAGTCACAGCAGCACTTAAAATTAAAAATTCCACCTCCAACCTTCCCATACTTTTCAATGGACAGTAAAAAATAAAAAGCAAGGCAAGACTCTCATAGGCTCTGAAATACTACAGAAGCAAATGTGCTGGGAAAATATTGTAACTACCATCACAAGACCTGAGGAGAAATGAGAGTTAGTGCAAGGAATGGATACAGAGAATAGGCATAAAGTGGAGTGGTTTCTGCCTGTGTTAAGTGCCGGTGCAGAGAGGGTTGAGGGGTTTTTTTCCTGTTTTGGTTAGTTGGGTTATTTTTTTGTTTGGATTTGTTGTTGTTGTGTTGTGGTTTTTTTTTTTTTATTTCAGCAATCCTCATCCTCCGCCAAACCCCCTCTCTACTTTCCTGACTTCTCCTCCACCTCCCAGTAACCCATCCAGGAGCAGCAGCCCCTCTCTCTGACTTCTCCATCCACCAGCTAATATGCTCCTAGGCTCCTCATCCCCATCCTCACAAGGAAATCCCCAAAACCTTTTGTCACAGGCCTGGAAAAGCCAGCTGCAGGGCAGTACCCCAGAGCATGCCTCTCTCCTCTCACTACTCCTTGGTCTCTTGCTCAGACACTCTGTGCCTGATCCTCTCAACCCACTGCCAGCAGTTTCCCGTGACAGATCACAGTATACTTGTGTTTAAAAATGGCTTTAAACCTCGCTTTGTGCACATGTGTAAATAGATTCCTACGACTATGGCCAAAGCTGAACCTACTGATAACAGGAAAACATTAAAGAAAAAAAAAAAGCTTTGTGCACATGTGTAAATAGATTCCTACGACTATGGCCAAAGCTGAACCTACTGATAACAGGAAAAGATTAAATAAAAAAAAAAACCAAACCCAACAGCCATGTTAAGACTTAGACACTCACATGCAAAGTCATTTCCTAGTCTCTTTCAAAGGTATTAAAAAAATAAAATAAAAAAATCAAACTCATTTTTCTTCAGTCTAGTTAAAATACTTCCCAGAAAGAAACAGCTGCAACAGCTTAAACTTGTTCTAGTCAGGACAAAACCAAAACAAAACCAGAGGACGAGCACTCAGCTTACAAAGCGCTGACTTGGGCTCAAGTTTTGCAGTTATTCGCTCACTCCCCGATTTCCAAAGGGCAGGCAGCAAGGACGGAGGTGGGGGAGAGCAGGTAACATGTACTGGATGGAAACACAGACAGTGAGGCTTTTATTCTCATCAAGATAAGAAGCCTGCAAAATGAAAATAAGGGTCGCTCGGAAGAACACCCTGGCCGCTGCCCCGACATCCTCCAGCCGCGGGGGGCCGCGGCAGGGAAATAAACAGCACGCAGCGCCCGTGGCTCCTGCGTGTCTGTCCCTCGGCAGCACACACCGCGGGGCCCTGAGGGTTTGGCAGCGACTCTGGGCACTGAGCCCAGCCCTGCCTGTCCCCGCCGCCCTCCGAGGGCAGGGAGCCGGCAGCGGGAGGGCGCCCAGGTCCCAGGCAAGACTCGCCTCTTGCAGAAAGGAGCCGAAGAGCGGGGCTCCTCCCGACCTACAATCAGACGGACGCAGCGAGTGCAGGCACCCACGCTGTCCGTGTCTTTCTGCCTCCCGTGGCACAAGATGCAGCCGAAGATACTAGACCAGAGATGTGTCACAGACTGATCATTTGAATCATGCCACCTCTCTTCTCTCCTTAATAAATGGTACAGACTTCTCTTTGATCACAACAAGCTTTTATTTTGGGGTTTTTTTAAGCTCAGCCACCTTCAAACAACGAGAGTGATACAGGTCTAATACAGAAAGGCAGGAAGCACTGGTGAACAGTTTTGTGACTTTTGAGCACCTGAAGGATCCCAGAACTGCAAGTCTTGGCTTACCCCCGTTTGTTCTTCACATTATTTTCCACACTCATTTACCACTTACACTAATACAGCAGCTGCAAAAGAAGAAAAGGTGAGGAACTGCCCACGATAAAAAAATAATGCCATTTTTAATTTCACTTTTATCCGAGTTTTTTCTTTTTTTTATGGAGCTTCCATTTAATATTTTCATCTTTTCTTTCCCTGCTGTATTTTGTTGTGCACTGTCACTCCCACACTGATTCACATCTCCCTTAAAAAGATGGTGTTGGCATTTGAGATTGGATTGAGGAGCAGGAAAATACAAGTGAGAAAGGCAAGTGTTAGAAATCAGGATAACCTCAATGACTGACAGCACTGTGGGATACGTACATGTCTCTTGTGGTTGCCTCGCAAAAAGGAGCTGGGAATTCCATTTTTACACTCAGAATCACTCTGTTCTTCATAGCTTTCAAACTCACTTGAACTCCACCCATATTCCAGTGAGCTGTTTCCACCATCATCACCATTTTCAACATCGTCATAAATCATTTCCTCTGCAAGAATTAAACCAAGAGAGGAGAAAGCTACACTGAATTTTCCGTTTGTTTAAACATCAAAAAACTTGTTCAGGTTGTACTATGAAGAACTATACAGACGTTTGTACACTCATTTTTAAATGTGAATTAAAGGCAATATTCCAACAGCCAAAGTAGGCTGTCTTTGTTTCAACAAAGTACTAAAAGAGGACAGTGTTATGGGTACACACCACAATCCTTTAAAAAACATGTCCTACTCAAACTATACTGCTCTGTCCAAATTCCACGACATGTTTTAGAAGAAATTCAAAGGAAGTTCAAACTGTAGCTGTGAACACACATCTGCACTGAGAAGAAGCATACTTCCATTTGCAAGCTTGCCTTTTGTCCCTAGGAACACCTTCATCATCAGCTCAAACGACAAATGCCAAAACATAGCAAGAATCAAATGAAAATGTCACTACTTCAAGCAGAACAGATCAGACCAAAGTAACAAGAAACATGTTACGCTACAATATTTTATGACTTGTCATTCTTGCAACTCCACCAGTCACTAGGAGCCTCCCAAATCTGCAGGTTACCTTGCCCATAATCTAGCCTAAGAACTTGAACTATTAACCTTTTCAGGGTATAGAAAGCTATATTGCAAAGGCTGACCAAAGTATCAAAGACATGGGTCTTTTCGTTGGCACAGATGTAGAGTACGACAAATTGATTCAAAACAAAATGGAAAATTTTTAATGCCAATTACTTATCAGGAAACAGGCATGCACTCCACATGAGGCATCATTTGTGGTCACAAACAGAGAAGTGTGGACACTTCTGTCAGGGAACCCTATTGTCAGAGATTATAACGCTTCATTTAAAACTGTCTCATTAAAATCAGTAAAGAGAGGATGTTCTTTCATTTTAAGATTGATTTTTTTAATTTAAATAGAGAAAAAATATGCACTTGAAAGAAAAGATGACATATTTTACACATCCGTCTAAACCCTGGATTTTGTGATTTTAAAACTACATTTTGACCAATAATAATATTTTAATATTAACTAATGAAATTCTTTATGATTAACACAGAGGAATCTCCTCTAATTTGGAAGAATCAAATTTTAAGATTTTTTTTTTTTTTAATCTCCATTCATATCTAGACTGTCCTTAAAATATACTTACTGAAGAAGACATTTTAGTGGTAATCTAGCACAATGAATAATTTTAGAGAATCATCATAGTAAGTCAAAACAAGTTAAGACTTATATAAAAGTCAAATTTTGCAATGCCAGTATTGAGGCAGGATTTACCCAGTGATTTGGAGGATGTATCTTTTCCATGTACTAATGTAGACTGAGCTCTGACTGCGACTTTTTTGGAATAGTTGTGTCTTCCTGACTAAATATACAATATAGAATAATAAACATCAGTATCATGAATGTACAAAGATGAAATTTCCCTCACTACTTATTTTCTCAGAATCCTTCAACGTCTTTGGGGACAAATGGAAAGCCAACATTTTAATTAACATCTTCTGGGTTAAGCTGAAAATTCTGACCGAGCTGCTCAACAGAGCTTTGTTCCACGTCCCGTATGGCTCCCCAGCTCCGCCTCCCGGCCTTGGTGTACTTGTTTCCTAACTGAGCAGCAACAGCGCAAAGATGTCCCTGCCCAGAGCAGCACAGTCCACCAAGGGACCTTCCAGTAATAAAAGCATTCGGTTCACAAATGTAGCATAATACTTTCAAATAATAAACGAAACAAATTTCACTATTTGTAAAACACCTTGATTGAACACCATTAAGGAAAAGAAATTAAAATGTTGCAGCTTTAACGATAGATGTGCTTTTCACACAAGAAAGCTTAAGTGTTTTCTCAAATCATTATCAACTTCAGGATGAAACACCAACACCCCCTGAGAGCCATGACAAGTAGATGCTGAGCTCCTAATAAGCCGATCCACTCAAACACAAAGTCAGTTAGTAGCAACCAATCTTAAGCACAGTCTTCACTATAACCAAAAACTGCAAAACAAGTCTGAGTGAGAACTCATTGAAATAAGCTTCTTGAGCCCTAGCTCCACCACTCCCAGTAAAGGTAAAGTCTTGGCTCCAGCAACTTCTTTAAGATCTATTCTGTCCCTTCCAAACATGGTCACACCATCAGGAGCTGGGTCACTCCAAAGCTGAAATGAAACATTTCTGTAGAATCACAGTCAGGATGGTAAACAGACACTCTGAATCTCCTCTTCCATCTATCAGATATTTTTATGTTGAAGGGGGACTTTCAAGAGAAGAGCAGTTCTCTGTATAAGCATGACAAATGATGTATTATCATACATTATTTAACTATTTAAGACACTCTTTTCCTACCTACCTTGCCTTGGTTAGATCTCTATAGCTACAATACTCAACACTGTAATTCTCTAATATATAGAATACTCAAGCATTTAGGACAGTATCTATAGAACAAAGCAGAATTCAGCTTTTGAGAAGAGCAGTGTAGGAGACCTGCTAGGATAAAGTCTTTCAAGAGTTAGTTTAATTCTGAACTTTGTAAGACCTATCGATTATTGACACAGTGTTAATTCCATTTACGTATCTTCTAGGTACTAAATGAACGTATCTATTCAGTATACATGCACATAATTCCATAATATATTGCTTTCAATGTGGGCTGTGTTAGAAAGACCTCAAACCTGGTTCAGAGTCTGAATTTTCTCTTGGCACATCGTCATAAATTACTTCATCTGGGTCTAAAAGCAAAACAGAAAAAAAAAAAACCCAAATGAGAAACCTCCTAAAATTTGAATGGTACCAACAAACAGTGTTTAAGAGGCATTTGGACAGTGCTTTAGCTTTTGGTCAGTCCTGAAGTGGTCAGACAGTTGGACTAGATGACCATTATAGGTCCCTTCCAACTGAAATATTCTATTCTATTCTGAAGAATTTTGGTTATATTGGCACATATGAATACAATGGAGCTATAAATCATTCTTCAGTAGCATTTTGCTAGTACATCTAATGATCATTCAAATAATGCAATAATGCACAAAAACAGTATAAAGTATTTATGAAGTTTCACACATTTTTATCTGCATTGTTTATGATGACCTTTGGAAGCCTGAAAACAGAAATCCACTTCAACAGCCAACATTTCTCTCTCGTTTTTACAGCACTGTGGTATGTTCTGTGCTTGTCAAGGGCTACTCATTGCGTTCCTAAAGAACTGTAGAAAAGCTGTAATAGACGTTTTTAAAAAAGAACCAAAACATTGTAGTACATTAAGAGGCAGAACAAGGATGCATTCAGTCACTTCTTCGGTCACTTCAAGTGACATGAGATGAACCTCCAGCCCAGTGTGAACAGCTGAGAACAGGCATGATAACCTGTCCTCAAATCACAGTGTCTTTGTTTTGGTTTAAAATGCAGCTGCCAGCCAAGGGCACACACTAGAAAAAAGTGTCGATTCCTTCTCCTCCACCTTTTCCAAAAACTTATTTGCCAATTACTGCATGAGAAGAACAATTTCATACACAGCCACAGAGCAGACTCTGAACTGGAGCAAATTTCCACTGTACACGTATTGATGGAGCCAAAATACACAATTTTATTACACTGCTGAATGTTTGAACTGGTATAGCTTGGTTCTGGAATACATCTGAAAAAATATAATAAAAGTGAACATGGACATTCCTGTAAAATATATGTGCATATGGATACACACATACTGTTGATCACAACTTAAAACCGACCTTCTATAGTTGTACTTCGGTGTTCACTAATACTTACTTTCCATCCATGCTGTATTTGCAGGATCTGCAACCCACTTGGCCAGAGCATCATCCTCTTTCTTGACCTGATTATCTTCACTTGGAAAAAAGGCCATAAAATAAAAGCATTAAGAGCTACATCATAATGTTTTTAAACAACTGTGAAGACAAGACAATCGGTATCTTGCTGCCTTCCCATTCCCACTCCAAGGCTGGTTCAGTATGTAATTAGGAGATCAACAGTCTATTCTATTTAACAGTCTGACTAAAATTGTCAATAAATTAAAAATGTTTCCTTTCCAAATTCAAGAAATATTTTGCTTTTGAGTTCTTCTACCAGAACACAGAAAACTTTCTCTTCGAAAGCAGTGAAGTGAGAGATGCTCTTTCACTGTAAATAAGACTAAAGACTTTCTGGGCTACATCAGGAGCCCACTGGGCTTCACAAGGCTGTTCTCCTCCTCTGGTTGGTACTGGTGAGGCTGAACTTACAGCAGCATGTCCAGTTTTGGCTTCCCAACACTCCCCCTCTAGAGAGTTGTGGAGAAATTGAAGCCACCTCTAGAGAGATGTGGAGAAATTGAAGTTGGGGACTAAAGCACAAGGCCTACAAGGTAAGAGGTGGAAGACACAGAACTCATGTAGTGTGGTGAAAAGGATGCTACGGGATGATCAACAGCACCTACAACTATCTGAAAGAGAGCTACAGAGGTGATGGAGTTGGTTTTGGGTTTTTTTGATTTGGGTTTGTTTTGGGGTTTTTGGGGCTGGGTTTTTTCAGTGCCAGATGATACACAAGATCAACAAACTGCACATTGGAAGATTTGGTTTGGACATCGGGGCGGCAGGGGGAATCACCAAAGTGTATTACGGCAGGGAAGACTGCCCAGGAAAGCTGCAGCATCTCCATCCTTGGAGGTTTTCAACGCTCAGCTACCAAGGCCATGGCTGATCTAATGACATGTTGGCAGTGGTCCTGCTGAAAGCAGCAGGCTAGACTACAAGATCTCCAGCAGCCTGTTGCAGCTGACATTGCTATGACTCTATAAAAATTAAACTTAGTTCCTTCAAAAATGTCATGCACAGGTATATATACAAGACTTCAACCAGTGCTGATTGTGGTACACAACCAGAGTTATGGAGTTAAGAAAATGAAAATAAACAAACACGGAAGCATCACACAATAAAAATATTTATCAAATGTAAGCTTTCTTAGGAATTAAGGTTTTACAAATCATTAAAGACGCTGAACTGGCAATCACCTATTTTGAGGCTCCTCTGAGTTTACAGAATTACAACGACATTCTTCAGTTGCTGACTGCATACCTGCAAAATAGAAAAAAAAATATAATCACAAAAATGCTTGGAATAAAATGTCAACGTGGTTCAAATGGTATGTTTTAGCATAAGAAACAGATTTTACTAGTTCGTTGCTAATGAATAATCTACTTCTATACAATATTTTTATTCTTAAACGCATCTAAAAAAATTTCTTCACACTATCCATTTTTGCAAATGACAGAATTCAGAAACACAGCGATTTGGTATAAGAGCTGCTAGGAGGAAATTACAATGTCTGATGCATTTCATTCTAATCTCTCAAACATAAATTCCTCAGAAGAAATAACAACCACACAAACATTTGCTTTTACTTGCCAATATTCCTAATGGTGGTAGACAGAAAAGGCTGCGAAAAAAGTACCATAGTACATGGAATTACAGTAGAATTGCTACCTAGCTAAAACTAGTACATCCAAAATACAAGAAAAAAAAAAAAAAGGCAGGATATGGGGAGCTTTCTGTTCCTCCTGCTCTCTTGACATTAAGCTGTCAGCTTTGCCAATTCTGGTTACAAAATGGGGCATTGTTCCTGTTTCTGTAATAACCCATAGTTATTTCCCTTTCAAGTTTCCTCTTCTCTCTTAAAATTGTACTAAAGGACAAACAAAATTCATCAAATCATCAAGGGGAAAAAAATCCCACAGCAACTCTAAATCCACAAGGATTGGAAAATAAACAAACAAACAGACAGAAGTACATATAGAAAAAGTAAAAGGGACGGGAACTCTGCCACGACCTAGATAAAGCATGATAAGGTATGAAAAGAAACCGTTTGGCTTGAACGCTGAACTGGCTCTGGAAATTATTTCATGACATTAAAAGGGAATTAGCATTAATCATTCTTAATGGCAAGATAAGACAGGAGTTCTCCTTTGTACTATATGTTGTAATATGGTGCCAGCAAAACAAAGGTCAAGCATCACCCGCTTAAAGAAGGGTTGAGGAAGAACCGACTGCATACATTTGTTTTTTCTTATGCACCTTTACTTAGGTATCTCAATCCTACTATGACAAACAGACTCCTGTAGGAACTTTTTTTTTTTTTTTTTTAAAAACGGACATTTTTCTTCCAAGTCTGACAAGAAATTTTAGTTCATACTGCAGGGTAAGAGTTCTTTTTTTATTTTGACAAAAAATCTCCCACACACATCCAGGCTGAGTGCTACACAAACATTTACAGAACAGCAGAGGTATCTGAAGTTAAACAAGGATTCCCTTCAAATAAAGCAAGGTGTGTAAATACAGTACCTTCTTCATCTACAGAAACACTGCGTATTATGACAGGACTGGAGTATGCTGGCAGTATCACAGGTAAATTAGATGGCACAGCATAGCCACAGGGGACAGGAACAGAATATCCACCAGACAAGTTTGGACTTGCACATTCATCTTGAGGACTTGGTTCTGGTGATGAGGATGGATCCTTGTCTTGGATTGGTGAAATATTTATGACTGAGTAGGGATTTACTTTGGCTGGAGCGCCTTCAGCAGCGGGTCCTGATGTTTGTAGCTTCTTGCTGTTTTCTAAATTCTCAGCCCCTTTAGTTGAAAAATTAAACAAAACCCCAAAGTTTTATTTTTTTATACCTGTCCAAGCTGCTTAATATTGCTCTTTGCAAACGTCCTAAACACTGATATGATCCTTACTACACAAGTTGCTTACAATCTATGACTCATAAAATTCCCACACAGTAAGTGCTATCCTCCCCATTTTACAGATGAGGAATGCAACAGCAGCAAAACAAGCTGGGTTACAAGGATGCCTATGGGAAAAAATGGATTCTAAATCCTGAATAGGAGGGTTTCTGACAAGTAACCAGGGTCCTTTTTTACTTGTCATAAGCTCTTTTCACATGGGTGAAAAGAGCCTGAAACCCTGAAGGTTTGTTGGTTTTTTTTTTTTTAACCTGGATTCTAGATTAATTTTAATCTTATAAACAAGGAATATTTTAGGAATAGCCATGAGGAGAGAAAAAGTTAACTGGAGGGATACTCCTCAAAGAACAGTCCTGAAAATGCTCTGTTAAGAAAAGAGGAAAGTAACTTTCCAAGTTTTCCTCTTCAAAAATAAATTCTGTTCTGTTACACAAAGTTCCTGGTATTTCTTGAGACAAACTGAAGTACAGCAGAACCAAGAGCCTCCCTGAAGTGAGCTGCAGAACTGCATCCCAAGCGACCAAAAGTTCTTAACCTGTAAGTACAACTTCACAAAAGGGTGAGCGAGCAGCAAATTTTCAGGGAAAGATGGTGTTTAAGTTCCAGGTTGTCAAACTGCATTGTCACCTGAAGAGTTATCTATCTTTAATTGCCATGAGCACAAATGACTTCCAATTTCAAAGGAAATTGGATCAAAGTCAGCAAAATCAGCTGTTGTTTAATTTGAGCAGAATACAGCTATTTCCAGACTGGGAACATCTATATGTGTTGTAACAAGTGTTTTAATGTTTAATAAAGAAGATTTCTGTTTATGAGCAAAATTCATACCTTAAAGGTCCATTTATTTTTATGCACTTCATCTTAAGATCAGCAACCAGCAAGCTTAACTGTAAAAGCAGCTTATCTCAAGCCATCCACATGCCGTTAGAGCTGCAAGGGCATAAAGTTTTCCTGTGGCATGGCACTGTGGCTGAGACCAACCCACTGGTTTGGATGGCACAGTTGGATGGGAAACCTCACATTACATGTGATGGTCATTTGCTCTGTCAAATCTGTCATGAGTGTAACTAGCAGTAATATTCACAACACTTGCTTGTACGATATTTCCATGGAAACCTCTTTTTACATGTATTTTTATTGCATCGTCAAGAAAAGGCATCCTATAATCAGTCTTGACAATTTAGCCTTGTCGATGCACAGCCCGACAGACTGACTTACCTATGGCATTAGCCTCTTGGTGCTCCATGTTACTTCCAGGATCAGGAGGAGGTGGCACAAGGGCTTGCCTGTCTGCTTCCGGTATCTCATCTCCACTGTCAAAGTCAAACTGTTCTCCCTCATCCTCCTCTTCATCATGCATACCCGTGGCTTTTGGTTCATGCTCTAGAACTGTGCAGAAAGACACGCTTTTGGTTGTTTGCTCTTAATAATGATTTCATGGGCACAGGAAGTGTTCCACGTTATGAATGAAGCTTATACAATGGACCCTTAGATTTTTAGGTTACTGGAACAGAACAAAAGCTCCTTGACATGTTGATAAGCTCATGCCGTTTTCAATAAATGCTTTAGTGTAAACAATGGAATTACTTGGAAAGCAATTAAGAACTAATAACACAAATACTCTTGCTTTCGCTATAATGAACTAAACCCAAAACATTTTTAGGAAAACACTTAAGCAGCCAATGCTTTAAATAAGAGAAGTTCACAGATGAATTTATCTCTACAGGGACTTTGGGATTTTATAACCTCAAGTCATTTTTCCTTTCTAACTCAAATTTTAAAGTCTATTCTTTCTTAACAGTGTCAAAATGGCAGTGACAGTAACTTTCTTCACACACACCATGAGACACCAGCAAATTGGTTTTCCTACTCCTATTCGAGATAGCTTTAAATCAACGACCTTATGCAACACGTTATTAACCCTATTTCTACACACAAGGTGCACTTTGGCAGGGAGGTGACTTTTCGGCTCTTACCTTCGAAGAAGCAATGGCTGAAATAATTACACCCTAATACAGCTAGGAAGTGGAGCGTGGGGCTTGGTTTTGTCTTTGCTTGTGAAGACCCTGCAGCACAGATTTGGCACCGTGCACGGGGCTGGGGAGCAGGGAGAAGTGCTGGGGAGTTTCCCTCCGTGCTCTAGTTCTTACCCACAGGAGCCTAGAGAACCTACGAGGATTTTAACCCCCTCATTGCCTTACCACTGCTCTTTTTGCTGTGCATTCATCTCGCAAGAAGCCTGCCCACTGCATCCCCAGCTTCTGTCAGAGACGCTGCACAGAGGAGGGATAGCCAGAGCAGCTGCTGGGAGGGATGCCCAGAGCTGCCATCCTCCTCCCTGCTGCCAGAAGCCTTCACTGCAGCTCGCCAAAACAAAAGGGCTTCATTCCTCCCTCCCCAGATCCGCCTTAGCTGTTCTCCCAGCTGCTGGAGGAGAAACTCTTACCAGAGGTCCCCTTGAGGCAGAAATGTCATCTGTGGAAATTCTTTGGCCCCGCAGACCCTCCTCCCAAGCTCTTCCTTAAACCCATGATTGACACCTAACTTTTACCACAGGTGTTCAACAACGTATTTAAAATGTTAAAAACCCCATGTAACTATAGCAAAAAAACATATACTAAAATAGACACATGTGTAAATGCGCCAATATGTTATAAAAACACATATGAAGTTGATAGGGTTCCCCCCACCCCCTCTTCAGGTAACACAATACAAAAAACAAAGTCTTGCAAGGACGATCAGATCTCCCGAGTCATGATGACATTATCAGCTCATCTACCATCCAGGACACGTTTTGTATCTTTATGATAAAGCCCACACAAACCACAGCTCTAGACTGCTTAGATTGTTAGGGTATTCATCATTCCTGCCAAGGCTTCTGTTTCTCCAGGCAGGCTGAGCCAGCGTATTTTATCACAGCCACAAATAACAAGATCTTTCATGCAGCCTCTCTGTAGGACAAAAGTGAGCTAATTGCAAAAATAGTAAGGAACAAAAAAGGGGTTATCGCGCATTTATTGTCATGGTTTATGGCTGAGACAGCGAGACGTTTAATTTAATTTTGCCACTTTTTAAAAATTCTTCTGTACAAAATCAGCCTTTGGATTAAGGCTTTTCATTTTTGCTTTTGTCCATCAGCAATTTTTTTTTCTGAAAGATGCAAAAAATTCTGCAGAGCTCTTCTAAGTGATTCAAGACAATCACATTATTCTTCCCAATTCAGCACCCATCTGACTAGACTGTGCTATTTGCTGCTTGACAATATCAAGGAAAAGAAAGAAAAGGGCAGCGGTGCTGGAGTTTTATTTCTTGGTTTTTTTTAAAACTTTCTTTCTGTTTTCAGTATGCCTGCGTACTTCACATCTGGAAAACACAAACCTGTGAAATACTAAGCGGGGTGGTTTTTGGGATAGTCACGGAGGCTAGACAGGTCAGGAACGGGACGGCAGTCGCCGGCAGGTCACAGCCACAAAACCACAACTTCTCACGTACTTGTACGACGTTAAGTGAACCAGGGCAGCCACCTCTTTAAACACATCAAGCAGCTCCGTCCCCGCATCGTATGGTGGGAGGAGGGTTAAGATGAGGTTACTGGGATGAGTCGGTCACGTCCGCAGGACTAGGCCACTGGGGGAAACTGGGGCGTTGCCAGAGCAAGGCTCCGCTGGGAGCCCTGGACCCACCTGCCCGCTGCGGGTCAGCTCCAGACCTCGGCGAAAGAAGCAGCGTGTACGCTTACGAAACGTCCGTGGCACACGGGGAAGGGCTGCGGGAGCGGCAGGTACCTCTGAGGTTTTGTGGCTGCTAGGTGAGGGACCTCCTGGTTCCAGGTGCTTCCTTGGGCATCTAAAGTAACGCGGGAATCAGATGCCCGATAACTCTCTACTCCACTTTTACGCTGATGCAATTCCCCAGACACTCGAGTCCAGCGCAGCGCCATTTGTCAGAGACAGACAAGACCTGCCGCTAGCAAAAAAAGGTAATTTGAGACACTAAAAGCGAAAGGAATGACTCGGGACCCAGGAGCAAAACTTGGTCAAGCAATGCACAATTCCCCTTCACCATGCCTCCCTATTCCCCCTTAAAAAGCAACCAACCCGTATTTTATAATTGTGGGATTAAATCTTAACATAGGAATTGAGTCTCAACTCAGGTAAAAAAAAAAATAAAAAAATTGAAGGTGTCACCTAATTTTTTCTGTGTTATGGCTGTTAATGCCACCCTGTTTCACTTATTCAGAAACCTTTACTTTGCATCATAAATAAACAAGGCACAGAACCCTCTAATTGGGCACTACAGCCTGGAAAGGTCCCCTAAATCGCATCACTGATGGGACAGTGGGTTAAGATTAAAAAACAGCCAAAAGAAAAAAAAAAAACCAAAAACACCAAAACAGATCAATTCCTCTCTCAGATTACACGTCCTTTAGCAAGGGCAGACTGGAGACAAATATCCTCACTTCAGAAAGTTTTAAAATCTATTTCAGCTTTGCATCACTTGTGCATTTGCTTAATTCTGCAGGTATAAAGATAAACTTTAACCCTCTAAATTTACTGATCACTTCAGTCTTATACTTATTAAAAGCTTAAAAGAGAATATTTTTATTCTAAAGGGCATACTATTTCATTTGATGGAAAAAGTATTTTCAAAACAAAAATAAAGAGAGGGTGGGGGGGCTTTTTGCTTCAACTAAAGAGCTGCTCAGCACTGCAGATAAATACAGATTATGTCATACAAAAAAGACATCTTGAATAAGTATAGTTTTGAAAATATGTACTTTTTCTACATCGTTTGTGTTACTTCAAAACAAGACACACATGTACGAAAGCACTTATGAGATGCTACAATAAATTAGGAAGACACGCAGCATAGTTACACTTGGGCTGAATCTGGCTACAAAAAACCACTACAGATCTTGCCAAGTTTTATGCTCGTGAAGAAAAGCCCAGTTCCTCCAGCCCTTCAACTGTAAATGAAAACTATCAACCCAAAAAGTGCACTTCCAGTCAACTGTGCTTGCAGAGAAAAACTGTGGGGTGAGGGGGGGATTTCCAAAGACACACTCCCCCCCAAAAAAATCAAAACTACTTTTTTTTTTTAACTTAATTTTAAAATATACTATTTTTTTTTCCCAAAGTAATAACCACAGACTGCTTCGGATTACAGAGTCTGCTTGGAATTACTTTGAATAATTAAATTAGCTACTAAAAATCCAATTTGCCCTTTCACCACTACTCACATCCTTAACTTTACACGTGCCACCCAGAGGAGTGAGAATACCATAATTGATTAAACTTTTTCATCTTATGCCAATACCAGTCGGGAGCATTTGCTTTGCAAATGCTTCAGGGAAATTCTTGCATTTCTAAAAAAAATTCTGTTTGGATTTTTAAAGCATGAAAAAAATTTAAACCTGATATAATGGAAAAATTGTCTTCAAGTTAAATTCAGTGTGAAAGTACAAATTTAGGATTAGAAAAAGGAATGTATACTCTCAAAATTGTTAGCACAACATATGGATTTATTGACCTTTTTCTGTAGTATGTTATTGAGTGAAATGACTTTTTCTTAAGCTTACTTCAAAAACCAGCTAACTTAGCCTCTGTTTACAGAGACCTGTTGGGGCACAAGCAAATTTAAACAATTTTTGGTTTGCCAATTGCAAAGCATTCTTGGCATCATATGCTTTCCCATTCATTTTCCTTAAATAATTTATAGCTCAATGTAACGCAGCTAAAGAGTTAAAAAAGTGAAATTAATTTTAAAGCCAAAATTAAGCTAGTGAAGTTTTATTAACAGTTTTATTCAACAGTTTATTTTAGAGATACAGAAGTAAGACAAAATAGCTCTGCACTTACTACCAAGTGCACTATGAATACAGTGCAAATCCACGGGGGAGGGAGGAGGGAAGTATCCCAAAACTCTGTCCTCCCTTGCAATTGTGTGAAACAGAGATAATCCTGAAGAAGTTAACCGAGTTTCTTCCATGGAAAACCATGATAAAGGAAGAAAGAAACAGAACTCCAAGCAGGAGCAGTTCAGCAGTCTGGAGCACAGTAACAACAAACCTGGAAGCCCTGGACAAAAACAGGCACACTCCCATCAAGAAACAGGAATATTTTATGTTATGTTTTAAGGTTTGAAAAATATCTTTAGAAATCGAAATAAGGCTTCTATACAATTAGGAATGTCATCCTTGCAATCAGTTGTAGTCTTTTTTTTTTTTTTAATTAAAGTTAGGGAACTATGGAACAAAAAGAGGACATGCATCTATTACATTTGAAAGACTGTATGACAAATAATTTTCTAAACACTGCAGGACTTGATAAATATGCATTTTCTCAGAAGGGAAAACTGTTTTTCCTTTCTCCATTTAATAGTCACTTTTCTTACAACATGTAAATGTTTTAATTTTTTTATTATTTGGGGGGTGGGGGCGCGCTTTGGACTGTAATCTCTTCTGTATATTCACTGAATGCCAATTTTTCTTTTTTTTCTAAACAAGAAACATTTTTAGTCACTTTTACTGTATTACCACCTTACACTGACCAATGAAGGAAATAAGTGTACAATGCTTCAGGTAGAAAATATCTAATTAATATTTAGTGGAAAAAATATTAATACAGTTGAATCTAAAGCAGACTGGCAGGAGGTGCTTGTTCTTATTCCAATGTGCAGTTTTAAAACACTTCTCTTTTTACTCATGTATTTCGGAGTGCAACAAGACACTTGGGCCTGCATAGACCCACCTTCCTTCAAACTGAATTCCCCAAATGTTTCAACATTCTACAAATTCTTGAGTGTCTTGAAATACGCAAAACATTTCAGTAAAGAATATTTTAAAAGTTTACTGTCCCAGAATACTTTCAGGTATTATAAAATTTGATAACTTACAAAGGTTACAAATCAAAGCAAATGGCTGGGCATAGCAATCAGAGTGCTTATTATTCAACTTTAATACATTCCAGAGATTTCTCAGATGATACACTTGCCTTTTCAGCCGCTTATTTCTAGTTAAACTCTGCCCAGCTCCTTGTGCAAGTGTAGCAGCCACCGGATAGAAATAAAAAATGGAAGTATGCAGATACCAGGAAAAAACTGAATTTTTAAAGTTATCATGACTTTTGTAAAACTAACCATTTGGGCCCAAACAAACCATGCTGAGTGTGCTCCGTAACGAACAGGCTCTCGAGCTGTTCACTTTATTGCAGGTGTAATTTCGTAGCAGAGGCTTGGCATTTGTCAGGAAGGCGAACCTTGTGCTAGGAAACACTCGTGCCCACAAAAGTTCCCCGATTTGGCCAACTTGCAAACCTTTGGAAAATGACGGTTGACTCATATTCAGC